TCATTCAAAGATTCTAATCCATTTTGTGGGGAAATGTTCTTAAATATCTGTAGTTAGAGATGAAAATGTATTTCATCTATGAAAATAGTTTCTTTTAACACTTTTCATGTGACAGATAAAGACTTTCTAACAAATAGTTCAGTCTGAATTGTGTTATGTTGTTTAGATAGGACCACACAAGAACAAATTAAAAGTGATCTCAGTTGCAAAGAGTCTGTGTTCTGCAGGTCAAACGTGGACCTGAGATGCATGTACAGAACTTGTCTCTCTGGGTGGCATTAAAGCATCTTGGGGGGGGGGGGAGGGAAGTTCTATTGACTTTAATGGGCATAGAGTTTCCTTTTAGTGTCCAGTTGAAGATGTACAGAGATGCTTACACACAGCTTGGACCTAATGGTAACTTACTGTAGAACCCCAAACAGTTTCCAGATGGAAGCGGTCCTGGGGCAGACATCATCTTTCAAAGAAGTAAGGGCTGTGACTCCACTGTGGTTTGTCCTGATGTCAGTACCCCAGAAGGGCTTGGTAACTCCAGGTAGCTTTTCAGCTGCTTGTCTTGATCTTTGCTGCAGGCTTTTTTCAGTAAGTATTAGGTATTAGTGCAGCGGGCTGGTAAAACTGGAGTTACATTAGTTGGGTTTCTACTTAAAAGAAGAGGTGTAAGTCATTGTACAGCAGCTCAGTATGCTTTATTTATTTTTCTCAAAACCCCCACAAATATTGCTGATGGAACTGGTGGTGGCGGGCAAGATATGGAGGTGAGCAAGTGGAGTGAAAGACACTGGGAACGTGTGGGAAAATCACAGAACAGAAAACAGATCTTTCCAATAGGCTGTAAAATGATTTTGTAAAAGCCGTACATGTTTTAATACCACATTTCAAATATTGTCCTCCAGGGACAGATTCTGAAAGCAATGAGATCTTTGTGAAGTGACCACTTCCTTCATTGCACCTCACTGTTGTACGACTGTTGTGTAAATGCCACACAATAGTCAAGAACAATAATTTTAAATTATGTAATTGGGGGGGGGGGGGGGAGGGAGGATTTTAAATGTGGCGAAAATTTACTTTTTTCCTCATAAGCTTTCACAGGATCCCAGGATAGTTCAGGTTGGAAAGATCCATGTCTTAGAGTACTTCTCTTGAATCCTGATTAGGGTTTCCTTTCACCATGTACAATTAAATCTGACATGAAGGGATACAAAAAGATGTTTGTTAAGGACTTAGAAAGCTCAGTACTGAGCTTTCTACACTCAGACCTAGAAGCTGAAATTTTAGCAATGTTCTTATACATAGGGGTTGTAAACTAAGGAGTCTCAAATTCACAAGTAGTTCCCCCTCTTCCCCCCAGCCAAAAAATAAAAAATAAAAGTAGTAGTTGTGATGATGAATGCAAGCTATAGAAGACCACAGCCCTTCCCATCTCACTGAAGAGATTTTCTGATCTGCAGTAGGAGGTGGATATTAACTACAACCACTCTGCCAGTTTGTTCCTATAAAGTTACAGTTGTATGACCTTTTTAACCAAGTAGACTCTATATATAAACTTAGATTGCAATATCCATGCAAATTACCTTACTATTTCGCGTATCACTGTAAGACCTGCTAAATGAATGCTGTTGCCCTAAACTGTGGTATTTACCTTCCAAAAATGAGTTTACCATTTTTGCAGCAACAATTACAGGTTGCATGGGAATGGTGTGTTATTTCCTAAAATTGTATGTAATTTATTTTTGAAAGCTTGAAGCATAGTTTTGAAGTTAAATGTGTCATCTTTGTAACTGCTCACATCATGTTATTTTACAGTCCCTGAAATACCTTAGATAATAAATGCAAATTAAGGGAAAATAAATTACAATTTGTGGAGTGACCAGTGTCTGATTATATATAATATAATCAACTTCATCCTGTGCATAATGTTTATCTTATTAATTATCCAGTGTACTTTAGAACAGTTTTAATGATTAGTGATTGTTTCTCAGTGGAAAGGGATTAGGTTTGTTCATAAGATGCATTTTATATTTACTCTCTGGTTCACCAGGACTGAATGTTTTCTAAATGTTATACTAATTGGAAAATTATTTAATGTTAATCATAAGCAGATACAACTGCCATTGCTCAAATAGTCTTCTATGATCTGTGCCTATGATTCTTTATTACCTTAAAAACTTTGCCTTGCCAAAAAATGTTTTTATTTATTTATTGTTATTATTATTTGAGTTTGAAGATTATTGTATTTAGAACTACTAAATAGATCGGTAAGTCATAATTATCTGTCCTTTCTTTGCCTATCCTGTAGCCTACTGGAATGAGAGAGGATTTTAAATTAACGGAGTTTCTATTAGGAGAAACAATTTCAGTCCAAAAATAAGCTTTTTCATTCTTAGACTGTAGCTTGTGTTATGACAGAAATTAACATTTTTGTGACCTGTAATTAACTGTGCTATATGCTATAAATAAGATTTGGCAGCTATAGCTGGAGTCAACTGTATCTTGAGGTCTAGTTATCTGAAGCTGTTTTTTTTATTTATAGCATTTTGTATTTGCTAATGACACTGCACAGTTCAGGGATGCAAACAATAAAGAACACACATAAAGTCCGTGGCTGGTGCCTGCAGCCCTCTTCCATTTCATTCCTACAGTGGCATCAGAGTTTGCTCAAATTCTTTCTCTGCTTGGAAATCTCTGGGGTTAGTGTTTAAGTCTTTGATGCCGCTAGTAATTCCAGCCCGCACCATTAAAGCTGCATTTTGTAACCGTCCCTTGGTAATTGTTGCAAGGACTTAGACAAGTAAGACTATCCAAAGGCATCACTAAGGTCAAACTGTGGTAGAAAGTGCTCTGATTTTATCCTGGAGATTGATGCTTGTATCACCTTTTTTTCGATTCAGCAGCTAGGGTTATAAAATGTACTTGCAATCACTGATAACATGTTTGATCAAACTACAAGTGGAGTAACACAGTATTTTATACACTGTGTGTAGTTTTACCTAGTGCAATAATAAATCAGTGAAGGCAGAGGTCTTTTGTAAATTTTAATGAAAATTCAGCTGCTGAAAATATAGTTACTTCTGGCTTAAGTTCTCGAAATATTAATTCATTTCAGTTCTTTAAAGCTGTAAAAATTGTTTTAACTACAGACTTTGTAGGAAGGCAATAAAAGAACAAGCAATAAAATAAGTAGTAGTGCATTCAATATATTACAATTATTTTGTCATTGGCTATAAGCAAACTGAGTGGAGGGGGCCAGATGATAAAATGTAGTTTGAATGAGCTGTAAAAAATGCCCATTTCTGAACACAATCTAAAAAACTCTGTGCTAGAAAGAGACAAAAGAGAATGATAGAATGACCTCATCATGCTATTGCATGAAAATAAGCAAGAAACGTTCATGATTACATAACTTAAAAATATTTACCAGCTGATCCATAAGCTGTATGATGTTGCAAAATATCAGTTAAACATTTACATATATAGTAAATCTAATTCATATCTATTAAACAAGTGGCACAAGAGGGAGCTGGGGGTTATAGAAATAAAGAATATTAAATATACCAATATGCTGTGGATCTCCTATGGTATCTTTCTTTAAAAAATTTAAAGCAACATTTCTGTGAAGTTGTCATTATTCTTCCCTAAAACCTGCCAGCCTACAGAAACAGACACAAAGATGATACATACTGACTGTGCTTAGTAATTTGCTAAGGATTTGAACAACAGTAAGGAGTATTCATTCTTGTGTTGTTTTTTTTTCTTGAAGTTGAGCAGAAATATAGTTCATTCAGTTATTCACTTTCCCAAGGTGGATATTTGCTCGGTTGCTCTTTTACAAATTACATCAAGCATATGCAAATACATGATTTTTTTTACAACGTAAACTAAGAGACAGTAGTCGTTAGCATTTGTAGTTTGCTTAGTTTTCTGCTGTGTTTCAGATGTTTGTCTCAAATTTCTTCCACTTCAGAATACATTGCAGAAATCTGGTCAGGGGAGAGTTAGTTGAAGTTTGATCATTTCGTGATTGATTCAGAGTAGAATAAGATCATGGTGAATATAAAAAAAGACGAAAAAAAAAAAAAGTCATAACATTAAATTTGAAGTGAAGCATCTTTAAAAAGCTTGAAAAATTATACCCCTTTTCACTATTACTAATGTTTTCACACAGGAATTACAAATATTAGGTTGTTTCTTGTTTTCTTGTTGCCTCCCCACAAACTTTAAATGACTGCCAGAATTGTATAGGGAAGAATGTAAAGTCTGAGTTTTCAATCTCATTTATCTCATTCTCTGCGTATGCAGTTCTGTTGGCTTTGAGGAGTTGTTTCCAGGTTAGATCGGTGTCGAGCTAGAATCAAATAATCACAGCTCAAACATCACACACACCACTCACCCACGCAACGTTGTTGGCTTTCTCAAACTTGAAAGGTACAAGTGGTGAGCTGCAATGTCTTAGCAGCAGGTTCAAGGAAATAGCTTTTATTCGATTGCCTCTGGTGGCTGCTGTACTCATTCATACAAACTGTTCTTTTTCCTCAAATAAGTTAGCTACAATAATTTTTGACTTGAACATGCATACTTGATCCAGACACCAAATACTTGGCCAGGAAAGGGTTTTTTGTGACTCTGAAATGGAGTGTAGTTGGAAGTGGGGAAGGAGGGAGGAAAAGAAGGGTAAAGGGGTAAATAGTGGTTCGGTATGTTCACTGAAGGTACTGGGTCTATTTCACAGCTCTTTTAAAAGATCCATTACTATAATACAACAGAGAATCTGCATAAATGTTTAAGATTAAAGTTGGTAGAGTACATCACAAGAAAACCAATACCAGCACTTTTACTTGTGCATAAAGCATTTTCTATTTATGTGACAGTACAGAAATTCTGCCTCAATCATGTTCTTTCACCTGCAGTGAACAGATTCTGCAAACTTACTTTTTTTTTTTTTATTCTTTTTAACAGAGCAAAACTTCTTACCCAATTTAAACATAAAGCCATTTTCTCAGTTGCAGATCAGAGGAACTGAACTGATTAATACTAACTAAGAATCCTGCTTGCTACTACAAAAGAAAGGAAACCAGAGCAGGTACATTTGTACTTAATTAAATATTCTGTTCTCTGTAATCTAAAATGAAGATAGCCAGTGATGAATCTTAGATAATAAAAGGACTCTATGTCCTTTCTGAACACTTCTAAGTGTTCAGAATGAGCTTCTAAACTCCATAAATGTGTTATTTTTCCATAGAAAAGTCTCAAGTATAATAACCTAAGGATGGCATTCAGCAAGGATTTGCAGATGCACTCATTCAAAGGTAAGGACATCATTTTGGAGATGTGATTGGAAATCTCTCCTAAGAGCACAGGCTAGACCTCCTTCAGGCATTGTATATTCTTCATGCTTCCGTTTGATTTTGGTTTTTGATTTTTCTAGTACATAAAAGTATACCACTCCTGAGACTTTCTATCTATTGTTTCATAAAAGTGCATGTCTCTCATAAAAATGCATGTCTCTAACTTCAGATAGCTCAGTAATCAGGCCTTAATCCTAGTCTTGTTTCCTTCACAACTTTACTTTTGTAGAACCTCGTCTTGGGCAAATTAATGTATTTCCTAACATTTTTTTTCTCTTCTGGAAACTGCAATATATGAACAAATCTATGAACTCTTCTTTGAGAATTCCTTAGCAACTCGCAATTTACAGTTTAGATGTCATCCCCAACCATGTAAGATTTTTTTTCTCCAATAATAATAATAATAATGATAGAAACAGCAATAGGCAATGGATTTAGGAAGTGAATGGGAACCTTGAGAAAGTCTGTAGTATGTTTTATCTAGAGTGACAAAAGCGAAAACTGTTTAGAAACTACCATCCAATGGAGGAATGTTTTGTAGCCCTTAGAAACATTGTTGGCTTTCACAGACTGCTTGGAAAAAGTTAGCTTCAGTCTTGGGAAAGTGTATTCCCTCATGCACTGCGATATATTTCAGCAAAGCAAGCTTTCTATCAACTAGAACAAGTTTTTCTATGGTTCTGCATCTGTTTCTGCTCAGTCAAGGTGCATCTGGGAATATATTTTCCCTTGCAGCAGCAGGTGGCGTTGAATAGCACATGTTATTCTCACACTCATAATCATTTTGTCTTACATGTAGTAAAACCTCCTCTCCCAAAAGAGATAATCCACAAGAGAAATTCAACAAGTTTTTATAGATGTAGCAGACTTTCTACACGACAGAGGTGGGGGTCAAATTCTTCCAACTTTAATCACACTGGGAAATAAGACCATAAATAATGTGTTCAAGTGACACCAAAAACAGGTGTAATACATTATTGTTATATTATATTTTCATTTTTCTACCCACAAAAATTTCTTGGTTTGCTCTTGAAGCACCACAGAGTTGTTGATGTGATAAGATGATGTGTATAACGTACCAGTAGTCCTTCACTATGCAGCAAATTCACAAACCTGAGTTTGCTCTGTGCCGTTCTTTGTCTACTTTACCTCCAAAGAGCAAATGATTTGATTCTTATCCCTGAAACATTGTCAGTGTGTCCCCACTGAACATGGTGCAGCGTTTCAGATTTACACTTTGGTAAGTGAAGACAGAATGAGAATTAGCATTTTCCAAACTTCTCTCAATCTAGTTGTAAAAATTATGGGGTGTTGCAGAAGCAGTTTGAAACAGACCTCCAAATGACTTCCTAAGATTATTTTTAAAATATCACACACAAGTAAAATAAAAAGATATTTTACCTGCACACAGGTAAAACCTACGAATGAAACAGAAATCTTTTACAGAGAAATGACTATACATCAATCTATTGTCAGTCTTTGCAGTGATTATGAGTATTTAAGAAATCCATCCATCTTCCTTTCATCAACAGTCAGAGTTTTCCATTTGCATATCTAATAATTTATGGCATGTCCTGACCCCAAGCGGTAATTGAACCAATAGATCTTCAGACTAGATTTACTCTGGTCTGGCTGCCACAGTAATGTAACTCTGCAGGAGTTTTGGATTACTCCAAATGCCATCTCCTCTTCTCAGAGGTTGACAGTCACAGGCAAAATTTAACCTCCCAAATGTCAAGGCAAAAACTCCATCACCTAATTTAGACTATCTGGCTCTCTTTTTGCAATACTTCAGATAAAAACAAGAGACACAGTGATCACTCCCAATACTGCCCCCGGAAGACTGGTTTTAAAGTAAAACTCAGTAACCATAAATGAATTCTCCTAAGAGTTTAAAACCATAGAAGAGACTAAATTGCAGAAGTGAAAGGGGGAATTCTATATACCAGAGTTCATACCTAGTAATGTAAAAAATAAGAATAAAAGGAGAGGGAAGCTGTTGCATCAGAGAGGAATCCAGTGATCAGAGACAGACTGACGAGAGTAGAGCTGCGAGGTGAGGAGGGGGGCAACGGGGTGCACTTCTGATTCCAGCGAGCCATGGCACAGCGCAGAAACACACAGCCAAGTGCCTGTGTTTCTTCTTCTCAAAATGTGGTTTAGAGGCCAATTTCAAGGCAGCATTATATGCTTCAGTGAAGGGTTCTCAAAAGCTTTGAACAAGAAAAATACCAGCAAACACACAGCTCTACACTGTTGCAGGCTCTTGCTGCATACTAAATATAGAGAAAATACAGCAACAGGGGTTGTGGTTTTCCATCAGGTATTGCTTGGGAAAACCCCTCCATACTCTTCAGATACTTCTGACTGCAAATGAAGGGGCAGGTGCACAGGCTGGTCACGCTGCTGCTTCCAAATGATATTCCAGATATTATGACAAGACGCTGGGTTTAAAATTTTATAAGAAGTCTCGTCAGTTGGCTATTTTATTTTCCTGGAAAGGAGTTCAGTTGAACAAGCTCTGGCAGACACACAGAGCTATGCTGTTGCCACTGACACAAGTCCCAGATGAACACATACAGGCTGTGAGAAAATGCTACTGTCTCACAACTGTGGAGGAAAAAAAAAAAAAAAAAAAAAAAGAGCAGCGAAGGTACAAACAAGGAAAATCTGACACAATCCCCAATTAATGGCATACGCAGTATTTATCTATCGATGATTAAGTGCTACCATTGTACCTTGATAGCTAAGTTCGATGATGATAGACATTCTAGAAAATAGGTAGATAGACAGAAAGATAGATATCCTTTGCTACTTCAACCATCCATAATACCCCATGTGTTGCCATCACTGCTTTGCCTGACCAATTGCCTATGTAGCCTGTTCCATCTTGTGTGATCAATATTAGCACTTCACTAACCTTGCAGAGTTACAGCTGTCTGATAGCACAGGAAGAACCTCATCTTGCCTCATTGTACTGAAAGACAGTCATATTGAAGAAGAAATGTCATTATCCATTCAAATACTTTTATTTAATTGTTTTCGGTGACTTGGTTTTGGCTCTGATGCTTTTGTTTTTCCCGTTATACAAATATTTTATAGCAAAAAGCAGAAATGTACGAATGAATGAACATTGAAGAGTTTAACAGGAAAACTGAGATAGGTGTCCAGTCTCCTGTCCAAGCCTCTGTGCCTCAGTTCTCCATTTGTAAAATGGAATTAACAATATCATTTATCACCCATAGTGATACTAAGGATACTCATGTGATTATCACACCTAAATAAAAATAAGATCCAGAGGCAGAATTGTTCCTGGTTCCTCCAAAGAGTAAGTGAACAATGAGTCTCCTATTATGCCTGAGATACTGAAGGATGATAAGACACAGTAGTGTGGGACCAAACGGAAAGGAAGACAGGTCTGTGTGCAGTTTGGGAATGACAGCACTGGAAGAAAATGTCTCTGGCCTTACCACCCAAGTTCTCTCATTAACTGCTGAATGGAAGACAGCATAGAATAAAATGTTCCTTATCTGACCCAGCGGCTGCTGAAAGAGTGGGTGTTCCCGGCATGCATCTGGGAAAAGACAGCAAATACCAGTGAGGGACAGGAATTGTGACATCTCCCCTGGCACACAAATGGAAATACAAAATGGTGGGAAGTTTCCTGTGTTATCTGTGTGATCGCAGCATGCTCTCCTTGCCATAATGCAACAGGGGATAAATCTTGTTCTATTGAAGTGGCACACAGCTCAGCTGAAATTATCTGCAAAAACAGAACAAAAAGATTCCTGCCCTGTAGTGGTTGGTCTCCTGTGTTTCTGGCTCCTCTATCAACTCTCTCTAGTAACCATTTCTGTCTTTTTCTCTTTTTCTCCCTTTTTTTTTTTTTTTTCATGTCAGGCTCCTCCAACAATGCTGCTTTTCCAAACTAGAGATGAAAGGTACAGGTAGAGAGTCAACTGCCTAATTGTCACCAGGCTAAATACTTCTTAACTTACTTATGATGGGATAAATCCTGGAGTACTTGCTGCTTACACAAGAGGATTTCAACACAGAATAATGTTCCAGAAAGGTATTTGGGTAGAAAAGAGAAAAATTCTGTGGGCAGTGTATTCTCTGGTACTCTAAGAGTTACTACAAGTGTGGTTTGTTTTGTTTTGTTTTGTTTTTCCTTTAATGAAACAGTGGGCAATGGGAAAGATTAAGGGCTATAAATTCTGCATCCAAACAGAGGCAGAACCACAGCATCAACTGTCAGAAGCTCTGAAGGTAGAGGCTTTTTAATTTGTATTTTAAGTTGTTTCTAAGTGAATTGTTCATTTCAATCAACAAAATAGGTTTGATCCTCCTGGCACTCCCTCACAATTTCCAGACTAGGACAGCAGTTGCACAGTGGAGTCAAAATCCCACTGTGTTCTTGAGGACAAATGCCTCCTATTGAGATGGGTGATGAAAGGCAAGGGTGCTGAGAGCTTACTTATTTGTGAACAGCTCTGAATTTTGCTCTATACATATTGCCAAATCTGCACCTCAGCTTGGCTTTTTTTCATGGTGAGGATGGCACAGCACAACAGACAAGGTTACTGCAAGAGATGGTGCAAGACAGCAACCTGCATTTAGAAGGAAGGTTAAAATGTATGGAAGCTCATGTAAGTAATAGGTTCGTGTCAGCTTGGAAATTAGTTTTCCTTTTTCAGTCCTGTTTTTTTTCAGGTTAAAGTCACTAAATGAAAACCAGGTGTATTGGTGGGTAGTTATTCTCAGGAGTTCATCGACATTTATGACAAAGAAAACAATAGAAGTACATCATCAGGACAGCAGAAGAAACCAGCTCACTGGAGATGGCAGATGGACTAGACACTGATAGTTACAGCTAATAATTAGTCAGTCCAGAAAACAGCTGTCCCAGTGAAGGGAGGAGCTGGAGAATACCCATGAGTGCTCTCGTGAACTGTAGTTAGCTCAACAGAGGCCTCTGCTGAGCAAATAGTATCTGAGACAAGGTCAGAAACAGGCCAAATATCTCACCTTTATTCACCCATATAAGGACCATCTAGTGTCCCTCTTACTAGCGATGGTGGGAGGAGAGAAAATTTGAAAGGTACAGATAAGCATGAATAGATCTGTCTTAGATATACGGAAAGAAAAATCAAGAAGTGTGTTTTATGAAGTAAGAATATTCACACAGTTTGCAATTAGAGAATGTTTTATATATTTTGCTATAGTTTTCTAAAAGGCTCAGAAGTCATTTGAGCAGAGAGACTGATTTGCCATAAAATTTAAAGTATACCTTTGGATCATTTTAAACTGTTTTTTGTCTTTGTTTAACTGAATTTGCAACACTTAAACTGAATCAAACCATTAATTTATCAGAAGTGCTTTATTCTTTACTCCAGATCTGTGCAGATCTAAGCTATGAACAGGAAAGCAGTAAAAAGTCTCATTTGTAAATATTTTAAAGAACACTGCTGTTCTGTGCAGCTTTATGTTCTTTTCTCTGGTGGTATTGAGTGCTTTTGCAGAAGCTCATTTGGGAAATGTATTCTTTGATTTTGGTAATCAATTGATCAACATTTGAAGCCCTGCTCAGACGCACAGCTATTGTGAAGAGCAGTACTTTCAAATATCCATTTGATTGTGTTTGTGATGCTTGCTTTATTCAACTCTGCTCCAGGCAAATTAAAATGTACTGCTATATAATAAGTATGGGAAGGTTAGCATTCACACTTCAGGGATAAAACATTTTGACAGTTCTATTCTACATTTGCATTTAAAAATTGTAACACTTTTAATTAGACCCTATGTTTATGGTAGGATCTCTTGTAGGCATTACTACTGTGAGATTGTTACCTTTCAGGATTTGTTCTGGACTGTTTGTCTGTGGGGAAGTGCAAAAGCCTGCTGCTTCCACATACACATTGTTTTCTGAACCATGTTACATTTCATTTTCTTAAATTTCTCTTACTGCTCCACCTGTGCCATTACTGCAGAATCACTTGGATTTGTTTCTGAGAATTTTAGTGTACAGGGTTAGGGAGGTGTGGGTGTGTGAATATATATATATTTCTCACGTGCTTGATATATTTTTGCACTGGTCTCCAAATTCTCGATTTTTGGTCACAGTAGAATCCTCAGGGGGACAGAGGCAGCCATTGACAGGAGACAGGCAGGAGATGCTGCCATGACATGTGTTATCTTTTTAGCTCTTGGACAGGTGATGTTTAAACAAAGCACATACACAGACAGTGGTCAATATCCCAAGCTTATGAAAATGATCACTGACACAGGCTGATGTCTGAAGGACTGACTGCTAAAACTGCCCATATCACTTGTTCCCCTTTTATTTTATCTTCCATCTTTCTGTATTAGTAATGTTCAGCAGGGGAATCTGTTACAACATCTGCAACATTGCTACCACCAAGAAAACATTCAGGGAGATAAAAAAAAAAAAAAAAAAAAAAAAAGGCAAGTGTACACTGTCTCAAGAGGCCTGTCTGTAAATTGGACTATGTTATTAAAAAAAAAAAATATTTTACACTTTTCAGAGGAGCAGAGGGAACTGGGTAAACATTGTAGCTTTTACCATAAAAATGTGTTTTGGGGCTGAAATTAGGTTTTGTCCCTGACAGTCAGCCCCTAGATAGCCAGTCCTAGAGTCTGTGTGTAATTATTACTAGGTTTACCTTGGGGAGGATATGGAGTTTGGTGGTACCAGAAATCTTGTGCAGTCTATGCTCAGGGAATCCCCTCCTGCATAAGGCCCCAGTACTGTGGCTCAAATCCCAGGAAGCTCAAACACCCTCACAGACTTCTTCGAGCTGCTCATTTCCATATCTTCCTTCAATATTAGGAGCTATTTCTTCTGACTCAGAAATACATGTAAATAGAGAAATATCCTGGGAATTCAGATATATGATATGAAAGTCATGCTTTCTGGTTGTGAAAGGGACCACAAGTAAGTCCTCCATGTGCACACAGATTGGATCTTCAATTTAAAAACATCAAAATGTGAATTATACAGAGGCTATCCAGCACTATGGGTAAGTACATTGGCCTTTCATGTCTTATTATGTTGTTAATTAGTTAATGTTTGTAAAGCACTTTGAAGATGAAAAGCCCTATATAAGTTCTAAGTGTTATTATCTCTAGAGACCTGGGTTCGATTCAAAGGTGCCTAATTACATATGCCATAAATTAGACTTAATGAGTTGTAGAATCATACAAAGCATATGATGCATGCAGGTTTCTCAGATAGATCTTGGCCCTATGGTTTCCTGCAGTGCTTCCTTCGGTATTCAGAGCTGTTAAGAAAAATTACACAAGAATAGAGCAGATAATCTCTAAAAATAATTGGATTACATTTTGGTATTATTTAGGACTTGGTGAAGCAAATTACTCTACCAGCAGCCTTGCTCTGCTGAACCTAGGGTTTTTCCAGTAACCAACTTCAAATTGCTGAAGTTAACATGATTGTTTTTAAGCTGTGGTATAGACATAATTCAAATTCTTACTTCTGTTCCATATCTGGTCTTAGCAGAAGGGAGCTGAGCAGTATAATATGACTGCTCTCCTTCCAATAATGCCCTAAAATGTCCCATCAGGGCTGGGAACCTCTCAGTGTTGGGTAATGTTCACATGCAAAAGAAAAAAGTTCCCATCTTTAGAGATACTATCATACAATTTACAATAAGCCATTACAAGTGGGTAACGTGCAAAAGGGGGAAGTAGCAGTTATAGGAAAATGCGGTTTCATTGGCTTTGCAGAGCTGAGAGTTTCCATGTTATGTAACTTACATATTCTCTAGCCAAAAAGCTACAGAATGTGCCCTGCACAGGTCCAGGCACTGGGGTGGCTATCCCACAGTGAGCACAGACAGCTTCTTCTGATGAGTCCAGGGACACAGAAAAGCATCAGGATCATTCGCCTGTCCCAAAGTGGCTCCCCCGTGTTCTTGCTGCAGAGTATCTCCATTGTGTCTTGGGCCCTTTACAAGCATACGGATAGAGGAAGGATTTATCCTGCATATAAATATGTTAGAAGTGATTGTGTTCATTAGTACAACCTAAGTAGATTGGAAAAACCAATTAATAGCAATTTACTATAAGTGTCTCTAACTGACTTCTTGAAAGTATTTATCCTGAAGTGAAAGTAATTTGATTTAGTTAATGTTTATTGTAAGTATATGCAGACTATCTTCCAAGGGAGAATGTATTTTTGAGTACTCCAGACAATTGAAACTAGTGAGCCCACTGTCTGGAGAAAGCATCTGTAACCGCAGCCAAAAGAGGAACAAGGTTTCTGACATTCTTTCAAGACATGTGTTTGAAGCATGGGTTCCCATCAGTTTCAGAGTGAGTTGCAGGCCATTTTCCTTATATAGATTTAGACAAGACAAAAGCTGTCCTAGATTGATCTTGCTAATTGTCTTTGTGATTTCTCCCTAGTCCACTTTCTTCTGTTATTTTATTTGCTCATTTAGAATATGACTGTTTCCTCAAGAAACTTTAAATGGGACAAAGCATAGTTTCAAACATCCTTTATTTTCTCTCTATCCCAATACTCATCTTCCCAATCTGCTTATATTTCTGGATTCCTAGAACTTGGTCTAGTCTTACACCTTAGTTACTGGGGTGTACTCCTTCAAAAACAGGATGTAGTTTTACTGAATACTTTTTATATATTCTAGTAAATAGGAACTTACAATAAATGCAGATTTGAGCTGCAGGCTGTGGTTAAATGTGTAGCAAACTTATCAACAAACCTTTCCTTCCCCACCCTGCCCCCTTCCTTTTTTTCAATGAACAGATTTTTATCCGCCTGGCTCGTGACTTGGGGATTTTTACAAGCACACTTTGGAACTTGTCAAACATTTTGTAATTTGAGTCTGAAAACAGAAAAGCAAAAATCTTTAGGGAAAAAAAAAAGTATTTTATACAGTGTGTATCAATTGAGAAAAAAATTAGCTTGCTGAAGAGCACAGAGGATTCTATTCTCTGACCTAACTGTCACTTCTTAACCAGAAATTACCACTCTGATGATTCACTTTTTAATACTCCAAGGTAACACATATACTTGTGTAACTCCACTGAGCTACCAAATTACAAAGGAGCTGTAAGACTCTTCATTTCTGTACAGCTATAGGCTTTTACTGAAGAGCAATAAGAATGTTTGCATTTTTATTTCACCTGGGAATTTTAAGTCTGTCTCCACTCCTCCTCTATTTTCAAGGTGATACTAACTGACATGCTCTAGCAGTGGTATAATTATTGCTTTAACATCAGTGAAGAATCTGTCCAAGACAATGAGAAAGTTGTAAGCTTTAGCAGCTCCACTAGAGTGCCCGTTACAGACATCAGGCAGGAGGAACAACCATCCAACATTGTGAAAGCGCTTTTTTACAGCCAGGCCTCCAACTCTGACAAAAGTATGAATATTTAGTAAGTGTGTGCTTTGAGAAAAGAATTCTTGGGTTACAGGAGGCAAATGTGTATGCAGAAATATCTAAGTCAGCTAATATCCAATGAAGAACTCTGGTCACTTGGCAGTTGTGTTTGGTGACCCAGTTAAGGATTTTACAGAAACAGTCACCATCTTTTTGTCTTGTTACTTCTCAAGTCATTTTCCTGTTTAAGTCCCTAATTTAACAAAGCACTCATATCTCTCACTGAAAGTCTTTGTGGAAGCACTGCTCATGATGTCTGGAAGAACTTTTGGATCATTCTTGCCTCCAGCTTCCTCTCCCTGCCTGCATGCAAGGGATTACCACAGGTCAGCTTGCAGAGAGGTAAGTGCAGCAGTAAGCAGTGGGTAAGACAAGAATTTATATTGATGTGGCTGATTGTATACTAGAGTAGATGAAGAGCATTTTGACAGACTGTGCTGCAAAGAGATGTGTATTATCATAAACTCATTGATAGCTGTTGTTTATTTCCTTGGATTCATTAATTTATTTTTCTTTGTAATCAATATACAGTGTAGAAAGGGACAAAATCACAGACAAAATGCAGAAACTATGGTTGGTTGGTTGATTGGACTGTTGATCTTAATATGGATAGGATGAGAAACACAAAGGTCCTTAAAAATTGTCTGCATCACTGTTGTGTTATGGTTTGTATTTTAAAGACACGTCAAGTTTTTTCAAATCAAAATAATTAATTTATACCATTGAATATTACAATAATATCCATTACAGTGCTGGGAGGAACAGTTTAATGTGAAAGCGTTAAGAATTCGGTTTATAGGTATTCAAATTCAGAAGTACTATTCTAAAAATAAATATTTTAGTTTCGTGCAGAGACTTATTTTCGCCTACATATTCCTTCAACAAGAGCGTTGTCATCTGCAATTGACCAAGAGCATGTCTTAGTTTAACTCTCAGTTCAGTAAAGCATTTCTATTCTGAATGTTACTTAAATTTTATCTAGACATGTTGTTTGATAAGACAGAGGTTACTGAATCTGGAATTAACAACTGGCTTAAGTGTTGTTCTGAACCAGAGCTTGACTGGACAGTATGTAACAAAGTACATGTGCACACCAATGTTTCTATTCATAGAATCACAGAAGATTTGGGTTGGAAGGGACCTTAAAACCAACTAATTGAAACCCCCTGCCACCTCTCACTAGCCCAGGCTTCCCACATCTCCATCCGGCCTTGGGCACTTCAGAGTTGTGGCATCCACAGCTTCTCTGGGCAGCCTAGGCCAGGACCTCACCACCCTCACAGCAAGGTATTTCTTCCTTATATCTAATCTATACCTACCTACCTTCTTATAATTTTAAACCATTACCTCTTGTACTATCGCTAGACTTTTAAAGTGTAGTTTTAAACTGTGGTTTTAAAACCGTGTAGTTTTAGAGTGTAGTTTAAAAATTTAGCTAACAATTCTTTTAAAGTTTCCTCAGGAAATGAGCAATGTAAATATTACAAAAATATTCATCAAGAAATCTACTTTATTACAACTAAGTGTTTATTTTAAACTTTAACTTAGTTCTGCACAGGGTATTGATTTAACTTTCGAAGGAAGTAGGAGCATAGTCCATGACTACTTGTATCTGTCGAGATATTTTTTGAGATCGTCAAGTCATGTTGTTGCCTGACAAAGTATATCAGAAAGCTTTTTAGGCTGAAAAATGAACAACTCCATAAAGCTGAACGTTATTGTCATGGAAACTTCTGCACACCAACTAATTGACATTATTTGTTCACCCCATCACAGTAATTATTTGTAATCATTATTTTTGTAGCATGTGTTCGGCACTTAAACTGTGTATACTACTAGGAAGAGCTGGATTATTCATCAGGAGAAACTGAGAAATTGAGTTGAAAATGCCAAATTAGGCAGGCAGATGGAATTATCTCCTGTTTTTTATTTAAAAATAAAAAATAAAAAAATTTTCCTCTCACTTCCTCATACATGCAAACAAGGAAGCAAACACTCTCCAAGTTTCACAAGAAAAGAGTAAGAAGTCAAAAATACCATAACCACTGAAAGACAATTCAAATATAGAAAGTTTGGTGGACCCATTCTTCAAGAATGTGTTCAGCTTCTCTAAGGTCAAGAGGTTCCTCTGACGTACCGAGACAGACTCCTGAGTTCTGATCCAATGTCACTCAGAAAGGTAGGAATGGCTCCTCTGCCATCTCTGACCAAAGTTCATATCCAGAGAATTTAATTGCTGCATTAGTACAATCTGAGTGAGTTTTGGCCACTGCATGTGCCACTCTTCCAGTAGAAAAAATAAAGTTATACATAGAAAATCTATCACCTTTGTTTTTTCAGAAACTCCAAATCCAGTTCAGTTGCTTTGTAATAAGAGACAGTATTGTTTTATCTCCTTCCATTAAAATAGACATAATTAATGAGGAATGTGATTCTAAAATTGTTCTTAAAAATAAATTATATCAGCTGTATGTTTTTTGTTTATGATTTCCCTTGCATTGGTAACGAGATTAATGCTAATGTGATGTAAGTTTCAGAAGTCAAAAATATTAAAAACTGACAATTGTTTCAACTAGATTCATGAGAGGAACCTGAGATCCTTTGAAAGTGTACTCAGAACTACCCAAGGTTATGAAAAAAAGCATCCTCCTTTTTGTGTTAATTTGCTTACAGTTGGTTTTGTAATATCCTAAAGAAAAATTAATGTTGCACCCATCTGCATACACTTAAGCTCGGTCTGCTGAAATGTTCTGCTTGAGCTCATGATGAAAGCTACAACAATTGTTTGCCCTCACAATACAAAAGGAAATAAAATAAAGGGTTCAAAATGGACTTAGTATTGCAAATCAAAACTTCAAAATCTCTTTTAAACTACTTTTTGTTCAGGATCCTTTATTACAAGAAAAGGCACTTATCACAGATAAAGATTTTGGAAACAAAAACGTAATATGGAATGTTTGTGTTATCACGATGATGATGACGAAGCAGCATTATTTTGAGTGTCACTAAAGTAAAGATTCCATTTATGTCAATTTTTTAAAATTGGGGAGTTTGGGTCTCATTTGACAAAGATCTCAAACAGATATTTAACTTTAAATATCTAAGTTAAGCCTATTAGTCTGAATGTGACCGTCAGTATGCTGATGTTAAGCATGTGCTTAAAGTCAAGAGCTCTCGGCTAGGCATTTGGGCTCATTAAAGGGGAAATAAATGTCAAAGTGAAGAAGATAAAATTGTAATACAAAATGTATTAATATAACTAAGCATACTGAAGATATTGCCTCTGTTATTTGTTTAGTAATATCTGATGGTGTGCATTTCTATAATGAATAAAAAGGTTATCTATAAGAAAATATTCTGTTTCTTCTCTTACACAGAAAGTGTTTTATGTAAAATGGATACAAATTTGCTCGTTCGTTGTTTTAAAACCTTGGATCCGTGTCCACTGAATGGCAATTCATGTGGTCTTATGGTCTAACATCATATGTCCGAGCAACTTGTGAGAAATAATGGAAAGAGCTTTTTAAAGGCTGCGGAGAGGTGACAGCATGGAAAAAGCTAATTAAAGTATATTTTAAAAATTGTGTTTTAAGACCTTTCATTAAAAAAAACAAGCTTAATGTAAAATAAAATACATCAAGAGTATGCTGATGTCACCGCAGCAGCAGTATTCCAAGTGCAGATTGCATATGTTTAAGTGATTCAGATATCTTGATTTGCTTTGGCAAATGAAAACCCTGTCTTACTATAAGTCATTTTTACCATCGGCATTTGCATATACATATGATATCTGTTATATTAATTATATCTATTTTCACAGGTATGGACAGACATAGCCCAGAGTTGTGGCAGCCATTAATAGATCAAACAAGCCCATGCAGCTGTGTTTTGATCAGTGGAAAGGTTTCTGGCAACCAAGAGCTGAAATCACCTTTTGGGTATGACAAGTGCATCTAAGTATCTAGCAAGTGAAAATCAAGGGTTTCTGTAAGGAAGGAGTAAGAACACCTACCACAAAAAATTAAGAGTAAAATAACCTTTAATAAACGCAACAATGTAAACTCAATTGTATGTATTGCTCTCGATTGGCATTTAGCCATCCATCATTTGCTGGCTCATAAAGCTGATTTGTGTTCTTTCCGCCTGTCCCTGTTTCCCTGAGCTGCTGGCCTCTTTTCATCACTCCTTTCCCATAGGCACATATGACTGGGACCCACACACTCTTTTGTCTCTTCCTCTGGAACGCTGCTTTTTATCACATGGGGAAAGGAGGAGTTTTGTGAGCAGCTTTCTTTCGTCTTTATTGTTGAATGCCACTTATAAACTCTGTCACTAGACTCTTGGAAGGTATCTAAAATGCTAGACAAGGAAACAGGTATAATTCAGAGGAAAACTGACCTTGATTGAATAGGGTCAAAATGCTTCAACCACCTCTTTCATTTGAAACTCCTCATTTATAGACTCACACTTCTTTCATTGTAGCTTTAGAGTTGACATAAATATATGTGGGATGTGTGTTAGTCTTAAAGATAAGAGGCTCTGCTAGATTTAGTGAATTCTGTGACTAATCAAACTCTTTGTGAAAAACACACAGTTTCTCCTCTCAAATTGTTGTAACACCATAATTGTTGAGAGCACCAAAATTTGTTTTCAGAAAACAAGTTTGGGCATTCACCAGGTACTAGGCGAGTTTAAGCTCCAAATTCCTAATTACCAGGTCTGATTGTATATATTAATCAGGCATGTGAGGAAGCATGAAAGTACTGACCATGGAATTACACATCTAAACATTTGAACTTTCATCTTGTGGTTTGCACATTTAAAGCTGTTCGAGAAGCATTTAAAGGCTGTAAGCTACCAAAGATTTCTGAACAGAATTCTTGTGGCTGTTTACAGACTCGGTCAGTACAGATATTCCTTGAGCTTTCTGCTGCTGTCTGTCATCACAGACTATTTCTGTTGAGTAGGCTGAGAGTGAAGATTTACGAAAATATTTGATGAAGTTTTATACAAACTGTGTCCCAAGCATTTATTTGCTACATTATGCACCTCTTTTAACCAAATGCTGTTTGTTGTTATGGAAACCCATTGTAATGAGAGCCACGTGACCCATGAAAACCTTAGCCAGCCAACAAAGTTTGCAGTTTTCAAGTACTTTTCAATGTTTCTATTTTCATATTCTTTAAACACCATCTCTTGCATTGTCCAACCCACATATGGCAAAGGCCTGGTTTTCTTTCTCTTCTCTAAGGATGATTTACATACTACCAGCAGTAGAAAAAAACCTGCAAAATGTGTAGATGTGATTAGAAGCATATTAATATCCTTCTATACTAGTGGAGCAGCAGAGAGCAGTCTTAAAGCTGCGTCCTTATCCCTTCTGTTTCCTTGCTGGGAACGGATTCAGCTGGGACTGATGTGAATTGGGAACAGAGAATACCCCTGTCTGGCTTCTGAACTGCTGAAGAAGGCTACCCCAACACCCTGGGCACAGACACACTTCTTCACATTTATCTTAGGTTAGCACGTTCCTTTATTTAACTGTCTCTGATCTCACTATATCTGATCATTCCTTCATCTCATTTTCACTTAACCTTTTGCCCTCTGCACAGACTAAGCATCCTATCGGATATCACCCAAGGGACCTTCTTTTCCCTTCACTCTCTTTCTCCACTCTTTCTCTAATTTAGGTGCTTTATGTGGCTCCTGGTAATTTACCTGATTACATGGAAGGAGCTGTAGATCTTTTATAATTGCTGTTTTACTTAAAACATTGATTCTTTAGCTCCTCTCTGTTTTCAGGTCATCACACCTCACTGGAGGTTTCCCTGCTTTAATGAGCATCTCAGAAACTGTAGAGAGGACTGGAGAATGGGGGTCGTTGTACATTCTTGTATTTGAAAGCAGCTCCATAGTATCCGCAAGAGGATTCTTGGCACCTGCCTAGTTAAACTGGATGTCCAGTGTTATCTCTCCAGGCAAGTAAGATTCTGGCAATCACTGTAGTCCTATTTCACTTGTTCTCAGTCTTTTTGACACAAACACATTAATTCCCCCAAGCTTCTTTGGCAGCTGTAAGAAGTTCTCTCCTTTTTTTAATATGATTGATAATATTGAATATTTCTTTTAACCTTTTACTGCATTTGCTGGGCTAGGTGATAGTTTCTCTATTCGGATGTTAATCTCCAGCATGCAATACCATGTCTTCCAATCGCCTACTCATTATGGAGCTCATTTGTAATGTTGCCATTTAAATTACAACTGCCTACCAAGCTCCACCTAGGACTGTCCTACAACATATAATGTCATTCTTCCAACACTTCCACTGTCAAAGGTCATATAAAGCAAACCACTGCTTAATACAGAAACTCCTTCTAGTTTAGCACAGAAAGAATGGCAGCCCTTGGGCAAAATTTGACTGTGTCGTTTCATATGATGCACTGGAAAGAAATACGTTCTGGAAAAGGTGCCAATAATGAAGGTTCCCTGATTCAGTGCAGGAAATGGCCTGAAATATACAGGCAAAAAAAAATGCCGTCATTGTCTTCACTTCCAATTTCTCAGGAAAAGAAAAGGTTGTTTGAGGAGACACAAATATATAAAAACAAAACGACCTCCCAGGCTGACTTGAAATATGTTCAAACTACACATCCACTCCCTGCTCCCTAGAACCCAGTAAATATTTCTTTGGCCCCACAAAATATTTTAGTTTGAACCCAGCAAACCTCAGATTGACCTTGGAAATAAGATTCCTCGTTTTCAAAGTAAATGTCTCTCCACACCACTGGAGGAGTTGCACTTTTCTGACTGAAACATATAAAACTTGTCTCTTTTGGCAAATGGGGTAGATTATACTGTGGGGAACTGGTTGTTTTCCCAATTAACTGACCATAGGCGCTCTCAAACTCTTTTTCTCAACTTTTATAACCCAGTACAATGCTGGTGGCAAGGTTAAAACATCTTTTTAGGCCATTAGGGGCAGGGTTAAGCCAGTGTAAAGCAGTAGAGTCTTTCTCAATGGAGATACACTGACCTATCCTGCTGAGCATCTGGTGCATGTCTCTACAGAGATTTTGTTCTCTCTTCTCCTCAGGTTGTATTGGATGCTTTAACAGCATTTGATCCTATAGTGTCCTTTTAGCTTACCTTGAATCCCCTTTGAGATTTTAGATTATATATGTCTGGATTTGATTAGCTTTGTCAGTTTGTTTTCTTCTGATGTTTTTCTCCTCTGCCAGCTGTGTTAACTCTTCCCTCACCCAAGACAAGATCTCACACTCTAATGTAATATAATGAAAATACGTTTTTGAAATAGTCTTTGACATCATTTTCTGATGATGTTCAACTCATATTCAGATATAAATTTCTGGGATTTGGTTATCAGTTCTCTGTAGAAAAGTGTACGCACATGTTCCACATAGAATTTAAGGACAAGAAAGGTCTCAAATTCCTCTTCTAATGACTGGTTGATGTCTATCAACTGATGCTGAAAATCATTGCGACCGCAGCCTTCCTTTTAATATCATAGCTGCTTCCAGGATGTCAGACATAACTGCCTTTTGTATAACAATCTTATTTAAACCAGACAAAAACAATTAAGATGGATGCTTTGATTGGCATCTACCATATTAAATGAATTAAACTGCTATAATTCTAACAAAAAAAAAAAAAATCAGTGTTGGGTATTAAATAAAATAAGATTATGCTTTTTCTCAATGAGCATTTCAGGTTTTGCTTCAGACTGAGTTTCTCGCTTGAGGCCAACCGGAAGTGTTGAAATGCGGTCAGCTAGGGTTTCACAGCAGCTTCTGGTCCAGGGAACCAATGCAGACATCCAGCTGCCCAAGATGTGGTCCTTGCACCCTCCCCATCTCCTGCTGAAGTTATTGAATCTTGTATGCTCAGGGTTTCACAAGGCTGCACTATATCCACGTGGTGCAGATTTAAAGAGCTACATGGTGCTCAGATAATATTCATATCTCTGAAAAGGACAATGCTGTCCAAACAGAATGAACCTTTGAACCTCAATAGGTTTTTGGTATCACCTTAAGCCTCAGATTTATAAAAACAAAACAGAACACCTTAAGCCTCAGATTTATGAAAACAAAACAGGACAAAAAAAACACTGCTTGCTTGCTTTCATTCTATTTTCTGAGTTTGCACTAAATTGTCAGCAAAGCAGGCCTTTTACCTATAAACAGATGGTACAAAATTCTGTGGGATTTTCCCACATTTGATGAACACACGCATCAAGTCTATTTACATGAGCATGGAAAATATTAAAATGACTACCAGGTCTGTACAGTGTAAGACACCTGGAGTACATTGCTGCCAGCAAGCTTCCAAGGTGGGGAGATTCTGGCACACAGTTACAGTTCTGGGGATTGGGCCATTTTTGACTTGGGTTATTGCATCTTTTTACACCTGAAGACATGTTCACCTCTGACCCAGAAACATCTGCAATGTCAAACTATAAAAAGGGGAATTGAATTGTAGCCTTTTTTTTTCGCCTTACTGTTATTTTTATTTTCTATTGAAAGGAGTTTTAAAAGGCCTATGAAATGTAAAATTGCTTTCTTGCCATAGTTGCAAAACTCATTTCACCTTTTTATCTGAGATGTGCTTGTAGCAAATTTCCAGAGTTGAAAAACTAATACAATAACCCACTTTGAGTAAGGACCATGGTCCAAAGCACTGAGCACAGCACAGTCTGCATGTCTCAAGGCTTGGGGCAGAGGACAACTGCCCCAGTAGCCTGTCTTGTCCTCACTCCCACCATTCTCCCAGACTTTTCCTTACCACTTTATGTTACCCACAACGTTGTTGCATATCCCGTCTTTCCTTCCTAAAGTAATGTTGTTGACTGATGAGGGATTTTTTTTTAATTATATTATTATTCACCAAGTCCTAACTTTTTTTCCTTCTTTACAGGGGTAATTTACAAATATTTGGTCCATTACTGTGGCTCTTATGAGGCCCATCATCAGAATACCAGCTGTACTGGTGACTATACAAGTGACTGTAGTTTCTTATATGAAATATTAGTATACCATAATATTTATTTGAGTCATTCTTTCACCTTTCTTATTATGATTTGCTGTTGTGATTTATATTCAAACAGATATATTTATTTATTTATTTATTCATTTTTTCTTTTTTTTTTACTCTGGGACCCTTCTGTGTGTCAGTTTGCCCTACTGTAGAATGAATTTACATGGTTTGTAGTAGAATGTGAATATCTTTGGTTGAATAGCACTAGAGAAATCCCCAGAATTATTATTTTGACAGTTAGTTATGGTATAATGTAGCCAAATTTTCATGTCATTTAGCACAAGAAGTATATAGGGCAAAGCAGCACAGATAGATGGTGTATTGCTGTGTTTGAGTTTGCCAAAATTAACACATTTCCCATTGGAAAAAAAAACTTTGGAAAACTTTCTCTTTTCTGAGTACAGGCATTTTATGTTAGAGCCTTAGAGCTGGTTCTGTCTCTCCTAAGTTATAAACCCTTATGGATGTACCATAAAGATGTCCACCTAATGCAGAGAAAAGCAGATTAATTGATCACAGTAATATATTCTTATCCACTGAGTAAGAGCATTACACACATTGTTTCTTGTTTTGTTTCTGGCTTGTAAATCTTCATTGTAGAATACAAATGAAAATGACCCAAATATGTATTATTTATGAATAGGTCTCTCAGATATTATGCTTTAGATTGATTGTGTTAGACAGGATATAACAGAAGCACAATAAGTCAATGAAAAATAAAAAGCAGCAAAAATGTTTCATGCTAAAAATGTAGTTCTAGTGACACCTCTTATATAAAGGACATTTCCAACACATTGACATTTATATTTATCATGGCTGTGTGTGTGATTTACAGTTGTCTGAGGTACTGAATATCAGGAATATCCATGCACATACACACCCCTTTTGAATGATGGTAAGTCATAGACTGCTGCATTACCCCTTATACAACAAGCTTTTCCTCCCCTTTTTATTTTTCTTCTCTAGCTTCAGGGAGGCAAAGGAAGCAGTAGATCAATAGGGTGTCTTGACTGAAGTTGCCTGCAGCACTTCCATTTCTCAGACTGGACACTGATGCTAACTATCAATAGCAATAAGAGGCTGTCTCAGACAGAATTAAGGCTCCTTCTTCTGCATGGCTGTCTGGTGCTTACTGATAAACATCTTGTGCGCAGGATTGCAACAAATAAACCATTTCAAGTGTGCAAACTAGCCACTGTCATTCTCCCTATTGATACTTGCTCTGGGGTGAAGTGACTAATAGTTATTTTCATACAGCTGATAGATACACAGCAGATAGGCATACAGATGGATAATAGTGCAAAGGCTTAATGCTATAGAGTGTAGAAAGATCATTGATGAAATTCTCTGTGCTCCCGTAGAAAGCCTGAGACAACAAAAGACGAAAATAGTGACTTACGTTTAAACTACTTAAGAGAAGCTAAAGATGAATTTAACTGTTTATTAGCATCCAATTTTTAGATAGTGTTAAAAATATCCTGCCAAGCTATTTTGTTCAGAAGTTATTCATTTTTACCACTCCACTGGATTTGCAAGTTTAGTCTAGAAATAAAAGCTAACGGGGCTGGGTGCAGCTATGATATGGATGGGGAGGTGCTGGGCAGCACTGTGGTCACTTGTCATTTGACCTGAGCTATGCACCGCACCAGTGGTTGCTAATTTTGGAAGAACTGAGTCTCTTTAGCCTCCCTCCCTGGAAAATAAAAAAAATAATTAAAAAAAAAAAAATCAATTTCTCAACTGATCTATAGCTCTGTAGTGCATTCCTTGTTTTCAGCCTGAATAAGGATGAAAAATCAGGTTCTGACCCACCCATATGAAATGGCCATTAAAATACCCCGGCCCGGCTCTTCTTGGTGGTAAGTCCATTATAACTCTGCTTAAGTCAGATATCCAGTACAGTTGTGCTAATTTACATCAAACGAAGAGCTCACATACTAATCCAGGTTTATTTTTCTTTTAATTTTGCTTTAACTGACTGGGGTGGGGGAAGTGGTTCAGATGCTCTGCTGGAAAATCAACAGAGCCTTATTTCATATCCTCCCTCTGTGGAGCTCTAACCATTTACAGGAGCAAACAATTTGGCTCTGAGACATCTCCAACTTTATATGAAGTGGTGCTTTTCAGATTAGGAGGCTGGTTTTCTAAGGGAAAGTTCAGTGAACCCTTTTGAGTTTCAGACTATCCCAAAGAAAATGATTAAATAACGTTTCTTTCTTTCATAATAATTTTTATGTTAAATCTAACAAAGGCTGATGGGTTTTATAGGATGAGATTATTCTGAAGATAGTTCTCATGTTGCTGAATTCTTAAATTAAGATAGTTGATGAGAAAATAAACCAGGGCTTCCAAGATTTTATGGGAAAAGACACCAGTCATGAATAACCCTACTAAAAATATTTGCATAAGAAGATTCCTGAATATATGTCTATGAATACGTATATTGGCTTTGAAAGAAGTGAAACTAAATGTTACTGGGAACATAATATAAGGGGGGAAGCACAATTTGTTTATTAATCACTTACTGATAGACATTTTCACTTTTATTTGTCTCTGCACTGTATGCTGCAGTTGGACCTGCCCACCACACACGAGCAGTATGGGGGTGGAATAGTTAATATGTGTACACTGCTCAGAGTCACTGCTGTTATTAATTGT